TATCCTTGGACTTCTTCCATAAAACAAACAAAACCAAGACATGGTTTATAATGTTGAATGTAAGAGAAAGTTATGACATGTTTAAACAAAGTGGAACAAAAGTTGGACAATTTATTTCATTTTTTTTTCTATCTTGAATATAGCTTGTGTGTTAAGGGAAAAAAACTAGTAATTGCAATCTTGCAGAAAGTATTACGACTATTGTACTCAAGAACAAAGTGAGGCTGTCAGATTCAAAATTTGCAAATGACTTTGATGACCAGTGATTGTTGCGACACAATTATCATAAGCATAATTTAAGTCAATGAAGAGGTAAGAGAGTCTAATTCTTTAGTATCCATTCTTATCAAGTGGCCTTTACGACTTATAACCTTAAAAGTAGATCTTCTTGAAAAAAAATCTAAATCTGCAAAGGATGCAATATTAAGGGAGCACATATAAACCAAAAAATAAAGCAGTCGATTTAGTAATATGACACAACCATGAGAAGAATGGCAAATCTGAAAAGAAAAATAGTTTTCAAGTTTATCTATCCGGGTTAAACAAGACATGGTACAAAATGTGAGTTTTTAAAAAAATGTATAAATTGTGATTAATGGATTGCTCTAAATCCCACGCTGAGAAAAAAAGTCGAAACCTAGAAGAGGTTAGAGATTTCACCACGTCAAGGCGCTGTAAAGTGAACGGACTTCAAATATTGAATATTTTTTAGAACCATTGAAGCCGGAAGAGGCTATTTCATCGAGAAGATACAACACAAAGGCAGAGAAAAGGAAAGAGCTGGAAGAACATAGCAAGAAGAGTTTAACTTGATTTGTTCCTTCTAGCCTCAAATTACCGTTAAAATTTCTAATTTATCCTGAGCATTGTCAAAGAGAAGATAACTCAGAGACTGTGGAGTTCATACGAGAGAAAGCTAGGCAATGAGCCTAATGAGAAGATCGTATTCACATTAACATAGAGTCCAAGCTACGTGCTACCTAAAGCAGGGTTCAATCGCTTTTCCCAAGGTCAAGATGACGAAGACTTCAGCAGATTATACAAACTTTCTGCAGCCAAGCACAACTGTCACCATGTGCCTGGTTCATTTCAAAAGCATTTACCCTCAGCTATTCTCCTACCTATTTCAGAAAGTAACTAATCAGAAAACTTCTCATAGTTATAGAGAATTTGAAGTCGCTTGAGACTGTCCGCTGGTGTAGTCATGAACATGCTAATTTTTATTTTTTTTCATACTTTACCTATGATCGATACTCCACAAGATCAGACACTTATGTCAATCAATCATACCTACTAATCATTTTTATGAGGAAGTTCATTTACGGATCTTCATCTATGGATGCAAAGATCGCGTACAATTTGAATGATATGGTTGTGTTTATTGTAAAGGTATCGATAACTATATCGGAAGTATGATAATGTGGATTAATCGAATTTCCATCAATAGAAATGTTGAATTTGTTGGAATGGAAAATTTGACAGTAGTTTATTCCTATGCTATCGCCCCGACATCACAAAAGATTTTCTACATACATGTTTTATACTTGTTATCTAATTTTTTTCCCTTTCTAGCCTGCTACATCGTGGACTACTTCGGACCTGACGAGACGGACTTGGTCAAGCCCTCTATAGACCACACCCAGAGTAACTACGTATCACCTTCTCCTACTTCGAAGCGCTTCTCGAAGTTTTAGATTTTCCGACACACCTCACGGCTGGCGACAGACAGCAAGACACGGCACACCGGAATATTTGCGTGTTCGAACAATCATGCTTCCTACGTTGATGTCAATGGTTGGTCAAGCCATTTATGGAATCACAGTACAGTATATTGAGCTGTGAGAATCTAAAACCAATAAACACATAATTATTTACACTGTTAATATGATTTCTTCTGCATGCACGATTTTCATCACAACTGTCGCAAAATCTTCAAGAGAATTTTATTGCATTTAACTCTCCAGCTCTCTCGTCTCCAGCTGATTCAATCTGTCGTTAGAAAATATGCCCAATGATCGATAATTGTACCCACTATCTGTTAATGGAGATAAGGACATGCATATACTTAACATCTTCACAAGAAACCAAATTTGATGGACCGGGTTCCTATGTACCAATTACACTTCTGGCAACAAGCACTTACAACATCCAATTATTACTGCGTGAAAGATCTACTACTACATGTTTGAGACTTTCCGATTCTCTTGATTTTTCTTTTCTAGTGCGTATAAATTACGAACAATGCGCTCAGATTTTTAGTATCACCTGAACCCTTTAGAATATACACTTTTGCAATTGATACGGAAAAATTTAAAATCCTTCACTCTGATAAATTTTCATTTCCTATTTTTGATGCAGTACTTAAATCGAATCACTATCAGGTTTAAATTATGAAACTATCTTATGTAAAGTAAATTGTTAATAATAACATAGAGGGAAAATTGAAGCATTTGGCAGATGTATATTTAGACGAGCCTCCAGGACCTCGGAGGTGCAAGAACCATAACTTGCCAAAACAACTCAATCCATTATTCTCAACTACGAAGCTATCACACATGACACTTTCTAGGAAAATATGATTGACCGTCTCTTCTACAGTTTTGAAGTATGGAAGTAGAGAGATCAAACATTTGTTACTCTAGGTTTAACTTACATGAATTCTTTCATTCAATAAGTTCACGAGAGATCATACCTACCCTTGTCTAACTTGTTAGATTCTTTTTACAATCGATTTATGTCAACATATTTCTATTATACTGCTATGCTCTACACATAGCATAATCGGTGCAATCATGTTAGGTATGCTTATTGCGATACTCGTGTTGTATAAAAAGGGTTGACTCATTTATTTTAAACTCTTACCTGTACTAAGACATTTTTTATTCCGATGCTATTGGAAGGTATTCCATCGTTCCTCTTTGGTTTAATGCTTGTTTCACTTGACGGGATCTTTCCATCCTTTTTGTCATTTTCATTTGAAGATATGTTGCATTGTATTTCCCTCATTGATTGCCATCTGGTTTTTATGGTTTATCCTTCAGAGTCTCTCCGTAGTATAGGAAGGTTGTATTGACCTAGTCATATCAACCTTCTACTCGTCTCCAACGAAAAGAAACACTCGGAAGAGTAAGAGAATCCCAAGCTTTTCAATTTCTTTCATGAGAAGGATAAATACAAGTAGTAGAGAAATATCACAGTATGGTTTTCTAGATTTCTATTCGTAGGTTCCAGGGCTTACTTTCCATATACGACTGAGGAATTCTTCGAGTCAGCGAGTATGTGGTGAATAGATCAACATACGACTGCGGAATTCTTCGAGTCAGCGAGTAAATGGTAAATAGATCAAGACCTTAATCTATTTACCATTTACTTTTCCAGCCCTTTGACCCCAAGGGTCAAAGGGCTGGAAAAGAACATAACAAGTCATTCATCCACCCACCAGGAGAAAGATCCTAAAGACCTTCTCCTAGATAGTGCCTAGAACGATAAATAATTACGTCCCTAATGAGTCAGCGGAGAAGATTTGAAGCTTTGTCGCAATTTAGGACCTGATACGAACCGCAGTTGTTTTGTTTTTCCCACGTAAGATCATGAGGCCATGAATACTTTAGAAGATCGGACATTGCGAAGTGTGTACTGTAATAGTGCCACTCATGAAGAGTCAGTACGTTGGAATGATGCTTCCACACATTTTCCCTTCTGGGACTTTGAGAATCCCACATCCAAAAAATCAGAGAGACGGGATCTTCCCATTGTTAATTATCCACCTGGTCCCGCAAAAGAGAAATTAAAAGTGGAGGGAAAGCATACGAACAACTTATATTAGGCTCGGGGTTCATCGCTGAATTTCTGTCTATTCTGATATTCCATTATGGAGTCGGGGTCAACGATCTCCTCATCACGGGAGATGTTTTGTGCATCTTCCATGAGGCTTCGAAGTTACAGAAGACTTTGCAGCTGAGCGAGCAATTTAGATCATTCGAACCATCGAATAAAAAAATGCGTCTGTTATTCAAGATGTATGGCCTTTTCTAAAGAAAACTGTGTTCTCACGTAAACATTGTTCTTCTCGCCTCGCAATCTTCCATGAAACGTATAACGTTCCTTCGACTAAGTGATATAGCAAATGTATTGATACTCATCAATCAAGGGATAAAACCAAACCCATTATATGAACTAGTTTACTCTAACATTGCAATACTAAATATCTCTTATTGCAACTGAGCTATATGAAATATCTTTGAAAAAACTACACAGGGCATAGATCAAAATAAGTTTTCCACGAACATTTTGATGTATAAATCTAATATATATTATATGCAGAACGAGAAAAACACCATGTTATTGTTACAAAATTACCTAAAAGACTTGATATTGATGTGCCACATAGTAAATTAGAATCTTATTTACTTTTCACTTTAAACTTAGATTTAGTCTTCATAGCTCCGTATAAATTCATAGAAAAATAAAATGTGATTTTTTAGTATATATATCCCCAAACTGTAAAATCTCTGCAATGGTGGCTTCTGAATGCATTCAATATAGAAGCCACCAACTGAGTCGCAACTTGAACATCAGCCATCGTTGCAGAGATTTTCAAGCTTGTGAATATATAAAAAATTTCACATCTTATTTCACCTTCAATATAGAAGCCACCATTGCAGTTGTGCAGTGCATTCAGAATAATGAATAATTCCATGGCCACCATGAACAATACTTTAGTGATCTTGAGTTCTTGTATTGACCAAAACGACAGTGTAGGTCATGTGTCTCAAACTATCTACAATATGGTCGTGCAGTACCTGATGAAGCCAACGAAGGTCTCTTCAATATAAGAACTCAAGATCACTCCAATATAAGAACTAAATCAGGCCCCGATTCTCTGGTCCGATGCAGATTCGTGTGAGCAGGTGGTGCATTGTCACAATCCAGCACCTGGCACCGATCTGAGCAGATTTTTCGATCACTCACTCACTTGTGGTCGTAATTCTGTGGGATGAAATGTAGTCGCAGGGGTAAAACGAGTTGTCTGACGTTGAGAAAGTCAACTGAGTCGCATCTTTCGAAGGGCACATTGGCGGGCACAAATGGTTCGACTGTAGAACGCTGAATCTTCAGCCGCAAGCAAACTGATTGAGAGCTGAGATAGTGATGGACCGAGGCGGCCGAGGGATCAGATGAGTTCCTCTGCGAATGGTCATGGTTCGGACTATGCCTAACGACAAAAAGTTTCTCGACACGGCATGAAAAGCTCAAACCCGTCGTGACTGACCGAGAGTTGACTTGGGCAACGATAAGATGATCGCGGGAGACCTTCCAACATTTCCGAGCTCACAACATCGAGCTGCATTATGAGCATGTAGAACCAGACGTCCCGACCGATGAACTCGAACTGGTCTCTGTAACATCGCCCTCCGTGTTCTGCGACACGGAGGATCGTGCGGGATTTGGGTGTGGTCAGCAGGCGAACAAATTCGACAGAGAGATCTTTGCGTACAATATATCCTAAATTCAACCTAGACTGGACTATTCCGTGACGTACGATGGTCAGAAGCTCGTCGGTAGGAGAACTCTGTAGCTTAAGCAGAGGAATTGTGCAGCTTGCGGTGCTTCTCGTCTTCCTCACATCTCACAGTTCGCAATCGGCTGTGCAATCGGGAGGCGAGTTATTCGATTTGATAGAACAAAGTGTTCAAGACCTCGCCCAAAAGGTCGGGGAAATTTATCCGTCGCCGTGTGGCACCGGTAAGCTCTCGAACCCGACCTCTGAATTCTGCCACAACAGATTGAGAGGTGGCAGATACCCCCCCTCCCCTCCTCCGGCTCGAACTCAGGATTGCCCTGACTTGTTTCCACGGACCGAATGCAGGCGGTAGCGGTCTGAAGTCATGTAACGTCAAGCAGTGCACGCAGGACGAGTGCCGGCCACTGACCGATACTCTCGAATGTGTCAGCGTCGAAGTGGTAAGTGTCTGATTCATCTCGACGGTTTAGTAGATGCTGACAGGATTGAAGACTCGATTTCCTCGCTATTTGCTGAAGTTCCGGGCACGCTGAGTTCTGAGTTCTAATTTGCGTGTCGAGGACAATTATGGAGGTTTCTGCTCCTCGGCCGACCCGACCCGACGATAGCAGTTTGTGTTCAGGGCATGCGTGAAGTCAGGAGAGTAGCGTGAGGGGGAGAATCTAATTCGTTGTGCCTGCTGTATGCAGAGCCCGCGCTGCGAAGCGCGATTACCAACATGTGCAAACACCTCGATCAGACTTTCCAAGCAAAAGAGTGGCATGACATACCCCCGGTATTTATCACACCTTCGTCACCTGACTCCAGATGCAAATACTCTGAAAATCCGTCACAAAATTCCGCCTGCCTTACGTCGTACCTACCAAAGTCTAAGAAGTTCATTACTGTACAAATTGCAATACACCGGGAAAAGCTTCAGATAGCCAAACAATCATCGATAATTGTCGATAATTAGCGACAATTGTTCATGCTTCTACAGCGTTTGGGCATACGACTTTCTGATGAGCAGTCTTCCGGTTTATCTAACATGTGGGAATGCGCAAGAGGGTTAAGTGTATCTGACACTCTTCGTCGTCCCATGGTCTCTGCAGGGCAAAGATAGGCGACCCGCCAGACGAACCACAAGCCAGATCGATTTGTGGATCGACGGACCTCGATCCAACATTCAAGGAACTTTACAATAAGAACCCGTATCATACGGACTACTACGTGGGATTCACAGATGGAAGTCGGCGTCTTTACCCGGGAAGGGTATGATTCGGCCGGCCTTACTTCCAGTTGCAAACCATGGGTTTGGTCGCAGTATGGAGTTTAGTGCAGAAGAAGTGCCGTAATCAATATTTTGCTCATTGGATTTCTCTCCATCTTCAGGAAGAGGCGGACCCGAATTCAGCTTATCCGTGTACAGCTTACGATTCCAGGAAACGGCCCTGGTACAATGGCGCAATTTCGCATCCGAATCACCTCGTGATTCTGTTGGACATCGCATTCGTACCCCTCGATGTATCTTATGTAGAGCAGAGCGACGCGCTGAGTATGGCGACAGATTTCGCCAAAGCGCTTCTGTACTCTGTCTACTACGAGGACCGCATCAATGTCGTGGAGTTCAACACGCAAGCCAAACCACTAGTCCCTTTATCGGTGAGAACTCGTTGAATTTCTTCACTTCTTCGCCTACTTCTATTCCAGAGAAGGCGCCGTTCAAATCTATGCCTTGTTGGCTCCCTCTATCTGAACTTCTGCAATTCTTGGTCTTCAGCCGTTGTTCAGATCGATAGAGTCGATTCCGGACGAAGATTTCATAAATCTACATAATTAAACAAAATGGGTGTCAGGTTATTGAAGTTTCATGCTTACTACTTTCTGTGTGTACTTATCGATGACAAACTTTGGGCTGATAATCTAATGGGGACTACAGATTGTAGTGGAATACAATCTGACGGACCCCCAGTATCATCAGGAGTTGCAAGTTTTGGAGACGGAGCTTCAGAACCTAAAACCGTCAGGACAAGAGAGTGGGCCGTCGTCCAACTTGACGAGCGGACTGGAAGCAGCTCTGAAGCTTTTAGGGGGACCGGACGAGAGAACATCGAAGAACATCATCGTGTTCACCAGCCGTGGCATCTTGCAAGACGAATCGCTCAACAAGACTCTGGACGATGTTGTGAACAATCTCGTGAGGCTATTCGTTTTCAGCATGAAGAGTACCGACGAGAACCTGCAGGACTACATTCGTGTGGCCAACAGGACTCGCGGACTTCACGTCAGTCTTCCGAGTGCAAGCCGTGCAAATCCTTTGTACCACATGCGTTCCTATTTCAATTACCTGGCCTCCATGCAGGCACTGTCGGGCCGTTCCTTGCCATTCTGGACACATTTTTACTCTGATTACTACGACATAGGCAAAATCATCACAGTCGCAGTTCCCGGTATGTCTCCATTTCTCTGCATTGTTAGACAGATTGATAATGATGTTGAATAATTATCGGTGAGGTTGCTATTTATACACATGAAAGGTATGCATGTATGAAATTTTCGTAAGGAAATTCTGAGAGTCCAAGATCTCCGGATAGGAAATGGGACGAAGGGCTGATTTTTTGAGGATGTGTACTGTAACTTTAGAGGATGTACCCATCTACTGCTGGTCTAACAAACATACATACTGTTTGATCGAGCAGCGTTCTCTAGCGGCTCCGGTAATTCCCGCAAGTTTGTTGGAGTGGCAGCCATTGACGTCATGTACGATGAGATTCTCGATCCTGAGATAAAGGCCGAGTTCGAACTTGCCCTGAATTCTCGTCCACTTAATGGAGGTGTCTTCAATGAAACATTGTTCTACTTGACGATGCCCTTCGATGTAAGTTTCCTCATCTCCATAGTCGTGTCGGTATCTGCATTGGGCAGAGGCTATGTTGCTTCCATTGTGAAATAGGCTGTTGCATCGTTCGACTAGCTCTGTGAAATTCTCGCTCTTTCTACGGTTCAATCTGGAGATTGGTGCTGAGCTTGGACAGAACCGCTGTGTTTTAGCGCTCTCTTATATTCCGTTGCCTCTCGCTTGGTGTTGTCATTCCTGTATACTACTACGATCCCTCCTCCTCACGAAACCGATACTCAGACGCAGCTCCATGCATTTCTTCTTCGTTAAAAATGTCGAAATGATGCGGATGTGCAGGATAGCTCTGGCGATTCTTGTGACGACTTTTCTGCCGTCGGAGAAGCCATGTGCCCATCAGATGCAAAGCCCGCAATAGCTTCGTTTGTCGATCGCTTCTGTTGTGAAACATGTTCAGCTGGATCGGCCCCTGTCTCCAACGTCTGGATTATCGTAGGCAGCTCGGTAGGTGGTGTTCTGCTCTTAGCTTTAGTGTCACTTGTAATTTTCTTCTTTCGGAAACGCCATTCACAGGCACCAATAAAACCAGTAGAGTCTGAGGCGAGTGTACAAAGTGACCCTTCGCCATTGCAAAGCCCTAGGACTCCAAGAAAAGATTCCCTGGTACCGAATGCTGGTGGCAGCGGAGCACCGCATAGGATCCATCAAACGCTTTCTAGATTGTGCGTGGACTCTTTTCAGGACGTAAATAATGGAGCTAAACCTCAGAGGTAAACCTTCGGAGTAGTTTAGGAGGGAATTGATTAGGGTTTAGAGATGATCATCTTCTTCTTCTTTTAAATTATTTTAGGGATTTAGAGGTAGACTGTGGATCGAGTCATATAATAGTCTCACGATCGATCCTCTCGAACTGTGGTTCATGAAGATAGGGTTGAAATTAATCATTGTAGTTAGAAGCTTTCATGTACATCGAGATGGTTGCTCGCATTGTTGTATCTTTCGTTTATCTTGGGCCTCAGGTATTATTAGTGTACTATGGCAGACCGGCCATCCGAATTGAACATTAGTTTTGAGTCAGTACCGAATCTAGAGTCGCCGTCGATGTTGAGAGGTCGGCAAAACTGATCGACTATGTTTATATCTTGAATCTTTCGCGACTGATTCATCAAGCGAACACTCTTTGCTTTACCACTGAAGCTTGATTACACGACCAATTGTACATCACAATACATCACATAATTCTAGTACCATAATATGAGACATTATGGTAGTTAAAATTATTTGCTTGGATAAGATGTAGCTTCATGTACACATCGATTAGTTTTCAACGGCCCTTATAGTCAAGAGATTGTACAACAAGGATCATGAAAGAAATCCCGGGGCCTTGTCATTTTCATTTGAAATGTACATTCTGAAGGATGTGGCTAAGTCCAAACTCTCATTGAGCTCTTGAGTTTCTAGACAAGTCTGAGCTTCTGAGTTCTTCCAAGGAGATGAGAATAATTCCAACTCATTGTGGATGCTCGGAGAAGAGTGACTGTTCAAGTACAATACCAGTGGAGGTTATACTAGAAAAAAAGCCCAACATTAAAAGCTTCTGATAATCGTCATTTGCATGTGTCAAAGTAGACCACAGAAGCTAATGTGGCTTTGAGGACTACGAATGTAAAATAGAGTAAAACATTGGTTTTCTCGCTGGTTTTCAGTATAAGACAAACACACGTCGGATGAGAGTTATAGATGTATTCTTTTTGGAAAAGAACTAGTTTGTTTCTTGCGATGACTTGAATGGAATGACATATAAATCACGAGATTAATGTCAAATGCACCACACGTGTATCACTTGAGGAGGGTGCCACTCCACAACACTCACTGGCTTGCCGGGTCGCAGCATTGTCTACCCACAACACAACACGAAGGAATGCAAGAATGGGTATCAAGGTCAGGTAGCTGAAAATTGTTTAACTGCAGCGAGGGGAGCAAGTATTACAGCACAATAGCATGTGAAGGCCCTTAAAGCCGCACAAGGATAAAACGAAGCCGGTAATATGGACTAGGCATCAATAGTATCACAAAAGGTCGTGAACTGATGAAATGTTAGTGCACTTTGACTACTTCTATTAAATTACACACTTTTGCAAAATAGATATCCCACTAATACATCTACCGTTAAATATAAACACATAGCCAGATGTATAGGATTAATGCACTTTGACTACGTCTATTAAATTACACACTTTTGTAAAATAGAAATCCCACTAATACTCCCACTGCCAAATATAAATACGTGTCCAGTTGTACATTTTTCTTTTTCATTAATTTGTCTAATCTGATTAATTAAAAAATAATTCAATTTATTCAATTTCACATATAAAAAAGAAATTTTTTTCATTCTCCACGAACTTTCAAGTAAACTTCCTGAATTTTGGATCTTTCACAAGAAATTTTTGCAAAATGAGCAGTGTTTGATCTTTCAGAAGTACGAGTTGCTGAACTGGAGTCATCATCCACAAATGACTTTTGGATGTTGATAGTCAAACGTTTGAGGTTCAAGAACAGAAATCATGATCATCCTTTTAAATTGAAAGCAATTAAAAAACGATCAAACTGCAACGCCAAGTGGTTTTTATGCTCCAATAAGCTTCTTTACAAAAAATTCCAAACTTCAAAATACTCTCTTTTGGAAAATGCTTCACTTAGTACGTATCATATAACTAGAGATCTCTTGGTCCCAAGATTATCATGTTTATTATAGATACCCAAAGGCTTTTTTATTGCTATGATTGCAATTGTAGATGACAGTCTTGTTTTATCCGCTCATGCTTTTTTTGATTTTATTGTTATTGTTATTCATGTTGCCATTGGTTCTGATACTTCTTCATTTCTTTGGAGCTTTCCAAGAAAAGTCAAAATGGACTTTCACGTGCAATTAACACTAGAACGTAACTCATAATGAATAAATAAAGTCATCCTTTCTGATGCTAAATGAATATCATAAGCCAGATGATGGAAAAACCCACGGACATTTGAGATTAAATTAAAGAATATCTTATATAGTGACAATCTAACCAACATAACTAACTATTATTAAGCTAATTGAAAATAAACAAAAGATTTGAATTAGATTCTTTAAAAAAGTTGATGATACATGATTTTTTGAATAGACATATAAGATGACAATATATGGATTATAGTAATTCAGCTATCAAATTTTCTTTAATACATCAAGATCATCATCACGTAAACATTATATTTTATAATACAATGTTTAAAATATAAAATGACATTTGATTTCATTACCTTGTTCTTTAGATCACTGAGTACTTTTTGACAAGAAAAGATAATGCATGTCATGTTATCTTGTGTCGATTACAATCACATTTCCATTAGTAGTTTGTATAATTGGATCACATCATTGATTGACACTTGCATGCCTAATCTCATATTGTTAGATTTTAAAATATTAATTGAACTATATGAGAGGAAAAAATACCAAGCAGAAATATATCCCAACATGTTACAAAATAAGATCAAGATGGATATCATTAAAACACTAAAACAAACCCGATCGAATTCACGAAGCTTGCCTCGAAGTGACACAGATGTCACGATATGTCGTAACATCAGCCATCTTTTGATTCTTATTCAGTGAAGCTCCTCGAAAAGAGGCTGCTGTCACGAAGTGTTACATCGTATTCAGTGAAGCTGATGTTAAGATGTGAATGTTTCAGTTCGAAGAGCTTGGAATCATGAACTGATTCCTTGACGTTAGCGAACGAATGGGAGACAGGAAGGATGATAAGCTTGGCGGCATGGTGGGGGCGTCCTTGCGGAGTCAGACCCGCAGGCATCGCAAACAGATGGAGCGTGATGAGAATCCCGTTCATGGGAAGACGATTTAAGAGGCGGAGAAGGCGGTTGTTCTCGTGGCTTTTCTTGACAGGGGTTTCCCTCGGGAAGAGGGAGGTTTTTATTTCATTTAGAGTGAAGAATGGTAGAGTATTAGTTTAAGTACTAGCCGTTGTGATCGATCGTTTAGCGATCCTGCGATGATGTAATCTTGTCTCGAGAGTATGTTGGGTTTCCTGCGTGAGTTGTATAATCCTCGTGAGTTGTGTAATTCCTCGGTGATTGGACTAGAGATATAGAAGTCTTTAGTGTATCTCGTTCAACAAATCTTTTTAATATACTTGAATATCAAAATTACTTAGTACAGTCGTATCAAGTACCACAGCTAGATAAACAAATATACATGCTTATAGGTCTATCATGCTTTAAGGGTTGTGAATCTTATCAATTCTTAATAATTTGTAACATTTTCTACACATGTTCATTTTCATTAGCCAAGCAATTGAAAATGTAGCATTTGTTCAAATGACTTTATGATATTCTGGAAAATAGAGTACAAGTAATCATCATCCATCCCCAGGCATGCTTAATTTAGGCGACGTATATTCAAAAGCGCCTAGTTCAAGCGCATGAGAGCGCCTACATTAGCGTGGGTGGGTAGTCATGGAGAGGGCGCATTTGTAGATCACACTGAAAGAGCCTTCTTCCTTCGAGCAGCAGCGGATGGAATTCTTGAACAAGAGTCTAGCACCATAAGATCTGAGAGCTTTAAGGAAGTCGTTTCGTTGGTTACTTTTTGATCGAGGCCGTTGGGGAATAATACGTGTACATGTTTTACGTTTTAGTAAATGCAGAGGTCATCTAGCCTTTGACAGATCTCAAGAATGGGTGGGCGTTGGCAGGATCTTCACAATGCTTGCAAGGCAGAGATGAGACTACGAGCTTGTCGTTGCCGTCTCTCCTCTCCTGAGACGAAACGCTCAGCTCCTGGGCTTTAACCTGTGCTAGGGAACTCTCGGTTCAGCTGAGGCTGAAACCTCAGCGTCTGCAGTCTAATCCATTGTACAAAAATTCCGATCGTCATTATTAGAGTGCTCCTCAAATCGAACTAGCTGGTCTGGTGTCTCTCGTGGAAAATCAAGCAAGAAGTTGAGTATCAAACTTCTGTACTGCTCCATACTCAAATTCCTCCGTACTCCCATGCTCCCAAGTTTGGCTGGGTTTCCAAGATCAGTACCCTCGTAGCTGTCAGTGTATGACATGTTGGCTTGCCGCGGCCAAGAAACTATCATGGAGCACTTGCAAACTGCAAGACTTGGTCGGCAGCAAGTCGGAAACTCTGTTGCTTCCCATCTTTATATGAGACCGCGCGAGTTAGGAAGTCTTGATTCTGACTCCAATATGGAGGGGGCATCCATTATGTAATAATGAGCGTTTTGGTTATGGTATATGATTTTGATATGATATTTGTGGGCATATTTTTGGATTTTGAGATAATTTGAACTAATGAAACAATTAGCAATCCACTGAACCTAACACGAATCTCAAGCACTTATAACAAAAGCTGCAAGGAAGTTGGCTCTTGCCACTTGAAATTTAAAAAAACCGCACAAATATAGATCTGGAACGAGCTAGGTCGAGAGATGTCCCATGACATGGATTTCGGATTTAAGTTACTTTAGAGTACAATTTCACTAAAGCTAACAACATTCATCGAAGTCAGTCTTATAGACTCTTCATTTCCAAATTATTGACCTCAAACCAACAAGTGGAGTCTCAATAACAATCGAACTTGGATTTTCTACCCACAACCTAAATATCAGCGATCAAGATCCTTGATTGAAACCTCTATTTATAATCTTTTGCCGACATAAATACATATGAAAAAACGATTCATTGAAGAGAAATTTACTTTTATGTGAAAATACTTTAGCATCTATAAGGTAGACTACACTCTAGTTTCTCATGAATCGGAAATGTTTCATGACACATAATTGCTTCATACACTTCCCTCATACAGCAATTTTCAAATCCAGGTGCAACGCTCTATTCTCAACATTAATTCTATTAATTGGCAAAAGATCAGTGTTCGTAGTCTCCACTTGATCTCTGAGGAAATTGTTCGCCTTTTGTGTTTAGTGAATTTACTCTTCTCCAGTATTCGATTACAATCAACTTCAAACCATCGACTAAAAGTAAAAGTTGGTAGGTCCAAATCAAAACCTAGCAATGAAAAGCATGCAGTAAATGTGTGAATCTGCAGTACCTGAATTGAAATAACTTCAAAGGTAGAAGCAATTCTGATGCCATCTAGTGAAGAGTTTCTCGTCTCAATTTCACGCCATTGGCAGAGGAAAGAAGAAATGACAATTAACCTCGATAAGGTTACTTTGAATTCGGATTGAATTCTATTGCCGCCTAACTTAGTTTTTTATGAGACTAAATCAAACTAACTTAGGCGACTTACTAATATAAACACACCTCTCCATCCATATGCATCTTGTGTTTGCCATTGCAAGTAATGTCGATAACTCACATGAGTCGACGTAAACTAAACTTGCAACATAGGTAGACCTGGTAACCGAGTAAATTACCACTAGCTAGTAATGTAAGCGAGTAACCAAGACTTTCGCAAACATGTTTTAGGTTAACATTACACATTTAGATGGATTTGGCGAGTGGATGGGCAAGAGCAACATCTCACAGTCCAGTTACTGAATAGATTGATGGATAAATGAACGGGAATGGTGACGACAATCACGGCGGAAAAGGATTCTTCGTATCTTTGAGTTTTGTGGAAAGTTGGGCTCGGATCGTTCCGTGCACAGGTTCATTCCAAGCCTGCTGCTGGAAGAGGAGAGCCAAACTTGCAATTCCAGAATCGCTGGTCTGTCTACTCGTACCATTTGGATTTTATCCATGAACTTAACCAATACACGTTATTCAAATGACATTCGTGACCGTAATATCAATCTACAAATTTCCTTGTCTGAAGCAGGGAGAGGTGTTGGACTTGTGCGAAGAGGGTTCAAAATTCTGCGACTAAAAGATTCCTGCCCTTCTATCCGATCTTTGGTTTCATCAAGGCTGCTTAGATTTACGAGTTTCAATTGAGTCTCTTGAGGATGGAGTTTTAGTTTCGTCGGACATTGTGCATGGAACTTTCACATAGAGCCCAACAGGGAGTAGAATGTTCGAGAATGTTGGACACTTCTCAACCAAGTTTGCGCCTTTGCTGGATTGTGATGAGCAGAATAATCGAGCGAGTAGTCGCCTCAACATGAACACCTCGACAGACACGCCAGAATGGTGCTTGCCACGCAGAACTCATAAGCGGAATCTCTACTCTGCGCTCGCAGATCATTGTACATCATGAGAGATTGGAGCTTCGAGCCAGAACATATAACGGCACGATCTTCAATCTTCACTCCGAATTAGAAGAAGTGAAGGTGCATTATTACTGGGCTGGAGTAGCGTCAGCCTAAACAATAAAATGGTCGTGAGACTCCTCAAGAATTGGTTGATCACGCGTCATGGACGTTTCGGTCCATGATTTTAGATCCCGATCTTCGTTTGGCCAGATAAGAGTGCACGATACGATGAGACAAAGAAAGAAGCAAGAGAAATGAAATAAAAAATAGTGGTAGCAAGATGTAGGGATCCATATCCAATGATGACGAAGACAAAGGCAGTGAAGAAAGCGAAGAAGAAAACGGCAGCGATTGCGGAAAAGAGGAGATGAAGTGGCACAGAGGCAATGTAATTCGGAACAGGAGGAAACTGCTTCGCGACGTCAAAACACCAGATGAAAAAAATTTGATCGTGGATCCTTCTTCGTGACCCAGTCATCGAGGTATCTGAGTACGATGAACAGGAGGATAGTGCTCAGGGCAAAGATGGCCTGGCGGCCGAGACGATCGTTGTGAGAGAAGAACCAAGAGATGAAGACCTCGTTTCTAGTTTCATCCTTAGAAATGAGTGGAAAACACGAAGGGCTAGAAACCAAACTACCGCAACACATGGAGTCAGAGGCACCAAAACGATCAAAACCAGGGCCAGCGTTTCTAGCTCCACCGCGGACCAGTAAACGGCGTCCGACATGGCTAACAGAGGAGCGAGAAGAAGATTTGACTGGAAATTCTTGAAGGCAAAATACAGCCGTGACCTCATTCTCCTGCTCAGCCACCACCAGGTCCATCCAGTCTTCTTCTCTTGGGACTCAGGGTCTTTGACATGCTCCTTCTCTACCTTGAGAGCTTCCCTTTGGCCTGCGAGATCTCCAGAGCCTGTCAGGAGCCTCGTGCGTCCGTACCTCAATCACTAACTCAGCTGTCCTCCTCGTTCATCACATGAGCTTCTATCTGAGCGAAGCCCGAACCATTCCACCGAATTGGGAGAGGAAGAGCTCAGAGAAGAACTTTTTTGGTTGGTCTGTCTGTTGGGCACACATTGCGGATCATACCACTTCAGTACATTGCAGTAAATCACCCATCAACACCTCTTGTTCACAACTTACTGCTAAATTCATAGACCCTGATTTGTTTGTAGACAAGGACCCGAAGCAGAGAAAGTGTATATTGGGAAACATACACGTCAAACCACCGGGTCGCTTCTGTTTTGATTCCTGGAAACCTTCTGGGTAGAAGATCCAGAAAAGCACTGCAGGTAAATGTGGTGTTGTTACGGTGAAGCTTATTTCGTGAACTTCAATAATGGCAATTGCACCCGGCAGTAGAATTGAGGCAGAGAAGAAATGGGCAACAGTATCTCCTGCCTCCTGGTTTTCTTCGAAAAATGTAGCTTAATCTTCATAGTGGATGGCGTGCACGAGTAAAATATGATTGGAATCCAAGCTCCCCAATGTCCTTTTGCTTTTTGTTTTCAAGCAAGGTAAAATTTAAACTACCATATTGACACAAAATCACGGGAAATGAATTAAACAAGGAGTAAGAACTTCATCGTTTTAGTGACTGGGCTTTATGGACTATATGGCTAGTCTATTATAGGGTTAGTCCAGGGAACGGACTGACACCGTCATGTTTCGGAACCGCATGGAAAATAAGGTTCATGTACAACAATCAAGACGGCCATCACTTATGCTTGAGAGTTGCTGGTAGAACAGTTTGGAGATGTTACCTGTTTCATAGCAAAAAAAATTATCATTCTCAATCACCCATCAGTATCATACTTGTGCTAATGTACTCGATTACGAATGACTTTTACTACTCCCATATCCCAGCAGCTTGATAATACTCACACGTAGAGGAGAGGCTTCTTCATGATTGCTTGGGAAGCAACCTCATCAGCGTTCATCCTCTTGGAGTATGGTGCTATTCAGTCACACCAACCTCCATTAAAAAATGCACAGTTTCATTTTGACAACGTGGTTGGCACTTTCTGCGTTCGTACTGATAAATCATGAAAGGGTATATACTGGTTTCTAAATTCAACGCTCCTACTGTAGGTACAAGCAGCACTGAAGAAGTCCAAGGAATAACGAGGCTTCTAGGTTGAAATATTCAACTGAGCTCTGGGTTGGCTCGAAATACGTGTTCAAAAAGCCGCGGTGGCGTGTACGCTGCAGTCAAGACTTTGTCCTGTGCTTTGTACTCTTTAGATAAGGTCCCACAAAAAAATCAAAAGTATACAGCCCAGCATCTTCACTGTCTTCTGTGTAGTGAACTGGCGGAAGATCGATACAAGATGGAATGAAAAAAATTATATTAAACGATTGCCAGCTGGGATTTAAAAATATCTGACATATATTTCAACTGAGAAACATGGAATAATATTGTGCATTTTCTAGAAGTAGTGACAGTAAGAATCAATGCAAAAAATCATGTAGGAGAGCGCTGGTATCATCGGAGTTAGTGCAAAACATTTTTCATGTATATGCTAATCTTAGCATATACATGAAATATTAGCAAAGCATCTAATGAGAGTTTCAGCGCAACATGTGACCAACTTTAGTTTAAACTACCATATTGAGACAAAAGCACCGGAAATGAATTAGACAAGGAAGAAAACATCCATCGTTTTAGTGACTGGGCTTATGGACTCTGTGGTTACTCTATTACAGGGATAGTACAGGGAACGTACTGACACCCTGATGTTCCGCAACCGAATGGAAAATATGGTGTATGGACAATTTAAAACTGTGGCTGTATGAAGTTCAGATTTCAAAATGCCGAGTTCCTCTGACTTGTGGAGGACTAGAGTTGCATATGAGTCACCGCAACTATGAATACTACTGCATGAAGTGAATTCGACTGCTGGACTATGACTCGTTCCTGAATTCTTTTTCATCGCCGGGCATCTACAAGTCCCATGTGATTCAAGGTGGTACAGTTATTTGCACACTGACTAGAGTCATTACTTCTGTATGAAAAACTATTTTCTAGATGTAACAACGAGACATGTTTTGAGACTGAATTCTATTGAGCTCAGTAGCGTCATAGCGTTGTCATCAAATCCGTAAGCTGCACTCCAGAGGAACAACAATTAAGACGGCCGTCACTTATGCTTGAGAGTTGCTGGTAGAACAGTTTGGAGATGTTACCTGTTTTATAGCAAAAAAAATTATCATTCTCAATCACCCATCAGTATCATACTTGTGCTAATGTACTCGATTACGAATGATTTTTACTATTCCCGTAACCCAGCAGCTTGATAATACTCACCCGTAGAGGAGAGGCTTCTTCATGATTGCTTGGGAAGCAACCTCATCAGGATTCATCCTCTTGGAGTATGGTGCTATTCAGTCACACCAACCTCCATTAAAAAATGCACAGTTTCATTTTGACATCATGGTTGGCACCTCCTGCGTTCGTACTGATAAATCATGAAAGGGTATATACTGGTTTCTAAATTCAACGCTCCTACTGTAGGCACCAGCAGCAGCAGTGAAGAAGTCCAAGGAATAACGAGACTTGTGGGTTGAAATATTCAAATGAGCTCTATTCAGATAAAACGGCCTAGTGCTAACAGACAAACCGTGGTAGGGGGCTTCCACTCGAATCTCGGAGGACTCCCCCGAAGAATCTGTGGCTGAATGTACCAATATTGGGATTCTAAATGTGTATATTGTATATATGTGGTTTCTAAATTCAACGTTCATACTGCAGGTATCAGGTGCGGTGAAGAAGTCGATGGAAATATTCAACTGAGCTCTATTCAATATGATTCAAGCTCGTGAAGATGATCTGGAGATGCTTCTTTATGATTGCTTGATAAGCAACCTCATCGGCGTCCATCCCCTTGAGTTATGGTGGTATTCAGTCACACCAACCTCCATTAAAAAATGCACAGTTTCATTTTGACAAGGTGGTTGGCACTTCCTGTGTTCGTACTGATAAATCATGAAAGGGTATATATTGGTTTCTCAATTCAACGTTCCTACTGTAGGTATCAGGTGCAGTGAGGAAGTCAAAGGAATAACTAGGCTTTTGGGTTGAAATATTCAACTGAGATCTATTCAATATGATTCAAGCTCGTGAAGATGATCTAGAGATGCTTCTTCATGATTGCTTGGGAAGCAACCTCATCATGGTCCATCCTCTTAAGTTATGGTGCTATTCAGTCACACCAACCTCCATACAAAAAATGCACAGTTTCATTTTGCCAACGTGGTTGGCACAACCTGCATTCGTACTTATAATTATGAAAGGCTATAAACCGGTTTCTAAATTCAAAACTATTGTAGGCACCAGCAGGAGTGAAGAAGTCCAAATAATAACGAGTCTTCTAGGTTGAAATATTCAACTGAGTTCTGGGTTGGCTAGAAATACATGTTCAAAAAGCAGATTCTGATGTACTCTGCACTAGAGGCTTTGTCCTGTGCTTTAGACTTCTTAGATAAGGTCCGACTAGAAAGATCAAAAGTATCCAGACCACCATCTTCACTGTCTTGTGTAGAGTGAACTGGCGTAAGATCAATACAAGACGAACTTGAGAAATAATGTACTAAACAATTGCCAGTTGGGATTAAAAAATATTCGACATATATTTTAACTGAGAAATATGGAATAATATTGCTCAATTTTTAGTAAATACGCAATATTTCTAGAGAGCCCTGATGTAATGGGATTCAGTGCAAAAAGTTATTCATGTATATGCTAGTTTGAGCAAAAAGTCATCTTAGCAAAGCATCTAATGAGAGTTTGAAAGGACCATGTGACCAACTACAACACTTTAGTTACTTTCTCCTACACTTACACCAATATACACATTTAGAATCCCAATATTCTAGGCCCTAACCATGGTGAGATACACAAGAAACAAACCAAATAATATGGGTGAAATAATATTAATAATAAATTTTCAAATAAATTGATACCATAGCTGTTTGTAGTACTCTCATAAAACATATTTGTTTCTAGCATTTGGCTGCATTCCAACCTGAATGATTGAAAACCTAAGCATTAAGTCATTCTTAAGAGTTTTCCAATGTCTTTTTTATGAACATTTCATTTCTTCACGGTGTTGGAGTGTGGTATGTTAATACACACTTGAAAAAATTACTAACCATGTTCCAATCACCTGTTTGTTTCAACTTTGGTAATAAAGTCGTAAGTGAAATTAGTAATATTGTAGTTTATGAGTATAATTAACTTAGATTGATGCATCTAGATAAAACATCCCAAGCCTCAAAGAGCCCAAAATTATAAAAAACTGAAAAAGCTAAAATTAAAATTAAAATCTTTAAGGCAATTAAGATCTCTTATGAGAAATGTAATGCTTTCACTTTTGTTTAAAAATGAATCAAAGAGCTTGTTTATGAATTAACATTTGGAGATGAGAATAAAGATGCAAGTCATACTAGAAATCTAGTAGAAAGGTACTTTATCACAATTTTAAATTTTGTAACAAAAATTTAGGTGAATGTGCTTTACACAAAAGACAGAAATCTGAAGACATGAATAAACACGGTTGCGTCTCAACGACTTTATCGGATAAATAATGTGCATTAATTTTCTCATTTGATTTATGATATGAGCAAATGAGTGCAAGACTTACAGTATGACTTGTTACATTTTAGTCAATATATATAAAACATTTGAGTTTCCATGTATGCTTGTCTTCTCCTTTAGAAGTTAAACGAGATCTTCATCTCAAGTCATGACTTAGTGATATCTAACATTTTGAATATAAGTATTTTTCATCTTATGTACACAACACAGGTTTTCTTCACTTGCAAGAAAGTTCGAAAATTGTAACTTCTTGAGAGTATTCACGGTTGACCTTAGCAAGTATCATGCTGGTTCTATCGTGTTCTATACGACGTGATAAACAAACAGGAGTGCTCTTAGCTCGGGCGAAATCTGATTTCAATTTAATATCTAACAACCCATGTGCCTCTCAGTTGTCAAAATACATCCTCTTGCTTGAATAGATAAAAGAATTCAGGAAATAGGAGTCAATGAAGATGACTATTGAAATTTCCGAGGTCAGCATGACGACATAGAGTGCATCAGCATACTGATGCATTGACTCAATGATCCTGTTCGCTTGCACAACAAAGTCTAGATTTACTCTGACCTTCTAAGATCATTTTCCAATCACACCGAGTCTGGAGTAACACGCTTGTTGTGTTCGTATGTTGTCGATACCTCAATCGCTCACACGATTCAATGACAAGATCTGATTGAAGACGCTGCATTGAATTTCCACGCCCATCGAAGGTATGTATTCCCGTGGGTCTTGATGCAGCTAAATTTGCATTCTACTATTACAGATGTACATCCAGTTTTACAAAACTTAGAGTAATTCAGATATCTATGCATTCCATGACATTCTGCGTGCACAGTTAACCATTCTTTTATATTTCAGATTCACCTGCTATCAACTTTTCCATTCAATTTGAGTTTGGCCACCAGAGCATCAAACACGTCTCTTCGTTTGAGTTCACAATACGTTTGCGGTCTCCAAAGACGTGAGGTCCCCTTTGCACACTCTCTGAGATTTCGCCAGAATCTGGGTTCCCACGATTATCTTTGATTCACATTGCTTGTAGTGCTCAGCATTGAGTTCTAGCACTTAGCAATCTACTGTTTTCGTGGTCAATGCTATTGATTTCTGCGTTTTCCTGCACATTCTGTGAAAAGGTTAGACTAATCTTTACGTCGCTTCTCATGCAGAGTGCAAGAAACCTTATCCCCAGCACGCACATGCACACGAGTTGTGACACTGCGAGTACGGTAGTTTCAGTTTTCTTCAGCCCGGCCTGCCGATCGTGGAAGAGGCTTCCTTCTCTGTGCGAGTGGAGAAGAGAATGGAAGTTGCAGGTACGTCCATAGTCCGTCACGCGGCTGAGACACGGGCAATGGACTCTGCAGAAGAGGAACCGGAGCTTCCCTCCGTTGTCCAGGACCTTATACGGCGTCTGGAAGGAGAAGGCGAGCCTATAACGAGTCTTGACCAGTTACGCGAGCCAGAATTTCGGGATTTCTTTCCGAATCGTGCATCGCTCTCCACGATCACAGGTTGGCGAAGCCAAGTGCGCTTTCGAGTGCTGGAAGCAATCGGCAACTGCAACACCCTTGAGTATCTGTACTTAGAAGATATCTGTGGCAGAGATATATCGACGTTGACCGCTAGCGAGTGGGAGGTAGTTTTCAAAGGTTTCAGGTCTAGCACCGTTCTACACGAGATAGCTGTTAGTTGTATGGACTGGAGTTCAGATGCGGAAGTGGAGAGCTTCTGTTTGCAGATAGGGAGAATTCTGAATTCTTCAAGCGTAACACATTTGACAATATACAATTGCAGATTGAGTGCCAGATGTTTCTTGAATCTCGCCTCAGGAATGCGAGGAAATTTTGAATCTAACCTCAAGTTGTTAAAACTATGGGACGCGTGGGAGGACTCGAGTGCGGTGAAGCATGTGGGTGACATGATCAACAGTGCTCCTCGATTAGAAACCTTGAGTTTAGGCTATGTAGACGCCATGGAGGAGGAGACCGTTGGAATCCTGTCCCAGGCTTTGATCCAAAGCTCATCTTTGAAAGAATTGGAATTAGATGATGTGAAGTGGGGAGCGGCCTTGTTGCTGAAAGCTCTGTCCGGAGATTATAGCAACCGATCCATTGAACATCTTCGGCTGGAGAGAATGGATAGACTCGGAGGTTGTTTAGGGGAACTTCTTACTTCCAACCCATCATTGAAGAGAGTGACGTTGGACTCCTTGCGGATGAGTTGTGAGGAATGGCACCAGCTCGGCGAAGTCATACGTGACAATGATATAGCAGCGAATATTATTGTAACGTTTAGTTTGATTGTAAATAGAGAGTACTGGGAGTCAATAGAATGTCTTGCGTGTGCTGCTAGCTCCGATGTCAAGGACCCCATAGTGGAGCTTCATCTCATAACACGTTCCAGTGACCAAGACTGGATGTTATCATTAAACCTATTAGGTAGGGTACTGCGCGGGGATATCAAATCTCTAAAATCTTTCAGTATATTGGAGTCCTCTTATGGCACTTCCGGTAGCAACCAAGATAAACAGGAAAGTATACTCCCGATGAATGGAAAAACTGGAGAAACTTCCGTCCTGAAGAGACTGGTATTACATGTTCAAAGCAAAGGTCTTTGGAAGGGAGTATGGAAGGACCTGCTTTGGTGCTTGAGAGGGAACACAAGTCTCACTCACTTGGATTTGTCTGTCAAGACACTCGACGAAGAGGCGTTCAGAGACTTGATGGGGCTATTGCAAGTGAACTTGTCTCTCCATGAAATAAATGTCTCAGGAACCTCATGGGCAAGGGACGGAAAGGCGGCGCAGATTGAAGAGGCACTAAAGCAAAACCAGAAGCGGGCTCTCTACATGGCCGTATTCAGAGAAGCCAAATTAACATTTGGAGATGCAAAAGCTGGTCGACTCTTTTTATGCGGCTTTCCTAGAGCAGGTAAGTTGCTATCCCATTCCTCAGTTTTTTCTCTATGTATGCAAACTAGCAATCTAAGTATTCACTTCTTAAAAATCAAACTGATAGCCAGAAATAATTTTTTTTATCTCTATATTTATTTGCAATTGTTTAGAATTTATATTCTTTTGGGAGGAAAAATAAACTCGGGTGATGAATTTTGTGTTTTATTTCAACATTTCTAGTAATTTTAGAAATAGTCTTTAATATTCAATTTTTTGTCATATAAGTCGTATATCTCCATCCATCGCCATTCCAGTAACAACTTATCATTCTATGAATGAATAATAATAAGTTTCTAAGAATTTTACAGTTTGATGTGAAATAAGGAATTTTTTCCAAAATTTTTTCTACTCAACATGATTTAAAAAATATGATATCAAGTAATATATACAAATATTTCAAGTAACAAGTTGTATCTGTTGTGATTCCCTTTTCTTCAAATTTTTAGGCAAGACCAAATTGCGTCAAACCTTGATGAGGATTGTTCAAGGCAAAAGTTGGCTTGGGAACAAATGGGACGAGTTGTGGAGAACAAAAGGCATCGAAGTGGAGTTCTTGCAAAACAATGACAAAAGTCAAATTTCAATTTGGGATCTTGCAGGACAAGAAGTCTTTCGTACCCTTCAAAGTGTGCTATTCCCTCAAACCAGCAATTTTTGTATTTTTCTATTTGTGTATAGTCACTTCTGTGAAAAAACATCTTTAGAAAAATCAGAATACTGTTTTCAAACAGAGTTGGAAGAGTGGTTGAGTTTCATCACATCGAGCACTAGGGTCACAGGACATAATCGTCCACAAGTTCTTGTTGTGATTTCACACAAGGATAAAGCCAAATCCAGCTCTTTGAGTTGGGCTAACTCAATAGTAGATGAGCTCAGCAAAACATTTGCAAAATTTGTGGATCTTCACCCCATTCAAGAGTGTTTTCATGTGGATACTAGGAAGAAGAAGCAAGTTTTTCCTCTCAAAAATCACATTTTTGAGATATTCAAGAAGCTCTTGAGTGAAAAATCTCCACGAGTTCCCCAATTGTGTTCTCAACTCTCGTCTCTCATGATTACAAACACCAAAGAAAACAGAAGTTTCCCTCTTTGGTCATCTGACAAGTTTCATTCCTTCTGTGACCCCATCTTGAAACAGTTCATTCCATCCTCTTCTGTTCTTGCCGTTGATCATTCACGGATAATGAACTCTATAGTATCCTATTTGAATGATGTTGGATCCATCGTTTATATCCCTAACCTTGATTATATCATTGTGGATCCAAACTGGCTCACCAATACATTATTAGGTGAGCTGGTAGCTCTAGGTCAAGAATTTCAAGCTCAAGAATCCAGGTCTTCTAACAAAATTGTGTCAGGCGACTCATACATGAGGAAGGATGGATTTGTGAGTGAGAGTGTCTTTGATCGGTTGATGAAGGAGTTTTTGCAAAAACAACCACATGGCCAGAGAGGTGTGGATAGAGATGTGATTGAAAACATACTCATCAATTTGGATTTGTGTTTCAAGCTGGAAGATTCTTCTCAGTATTTCATTCCCTCCTTCGTACCTGAGCATGCAAGCATGGAAGGACAGAAGCATCAAGAAGTAGATCACATGGAGTCTAGGGCTTGGGAAACTAGGGGTGAGACTTCACAATTTGTGGGCATTCGGGTTCAATGCCAAGATGGAAGAACAATGTCATTGACCGCTGCTTTTTTTCCATGCTTTCAGGTGAGGTTGATTTATGGTTTCATATATATTGTGAGAAAATTGAATGCGTTAAAGTACTGATTGATACTTGTGTACATGAATGGAATGTTCCCTTCTCATTAATTGATTTCAATTTTTGAAATGCACAACTCAATATTTAACAAGTTTTGTATCATTGTAGATGTTCATGAGGCGCAAGTTGATATCGGATATGCTTGTTTCCAAGGAGACTGTGACCTGCTCTCGACATTTTCTGGAACTTTTCCTTGATGGACATCAGATTTTTGTTCAGCAAGGAAGGTCCCACAAATACGTGGATGTTCTGATGTTATGCTCGAAGCATAAGTCAAGAGAGGGGGCTATGAAATACCTGATGAAGCATATCGTCCAGGAGTTGATATCGTTTTGCGCATCACCCAAAGGCTGTCCCGGGGTGGCATTGGTGCTCGGAGTGATCCAAACACTTTGCGTTGAGATGCTAATTCCGAGTCATCTGAGAGGGGTGATTCTGATCGAGAAGCTCAAATCTGAATTCCTTCGTAGCATCAAAGACAAACTTGAGTACATTCCGTTGGATAAGTCGCACTTGGAGAAGGAGGAAGAGTTGTTCAACTATGAGCACTGTTGGCCCTTGATTGAAGGATACACAGCACAGGTAATATTTGAAAGAGCTAGCGACTTGATGTGGAAGAGCGAGGTGGAAGCGGTTGTGAATGAGATCCGAGAAAAGCGAATGCAACAATTGGAGTCATTGCAACTTGGCCTTATCCAACGATTGGAGTCATTGCAGCAAGGTTTAATCAAAGTGAATGATGATTTGATTCATTCTGACCCTGAAAATGAGAACATGGCTACGGATGCAAATTTTCCTGATATGAAAGATTCCATTCGACCTCCATCCAGGTGCTTAATTCGGGCGAGCACAAGTGTAGCATATCGATCTACCCGACTTGAGAATAAGATCGATCAGCTAGTACACAAGGTTGATGATTTGGATGAGAGGTTGAGATCAGTGGAGAGCATTGTGCAGAGATTGGATCTTAAGTTGGGAGAAATAGTATCTTTGCAACAAGTACTGCAGTCAACTTTGAGTGCATTCATGTCCAAAGTGGACAGTTTCATTCAGTACTCTCATTCGTTTCAGCAGGGGAGAACTCCCAAGCGACCTTACGTTACGGACGATGTTGGCCTATTTTATAAGATGAGTGCACTTTTGCGTGTCGGGACAACCATTCGCTTACACTTGATGTGTGAGTCGGCGACTGGGTTTCATCCCGTAAGAGATCAAGAAGGTTTGAGGATACGCTTAGATCGAGAGAATTTTGGGTGGATTCGAAAAACTATTGAAATCTCATTCAAAGTCATTTATTATGCTGTGAAGGGTGGACTGGATGCGACCCTTGGGTTGGGCGAAGCGATTCCGGGTTGGGAAGATTTAAAATCTGATGTTGTTAAACTAGATGGAATTAGCAGTCGTGATCGTAGGGCAGTTCTTAAAGGTGGGGATAGCAAGGAGCTGAAAGAAGCATGGTTGAGAATTCAGCAAACTCTTGCCCCTCAGCTTCAAGATAGCTTTTCGTCAATCTTCAGGTTGTATCAAGTGAAATACGTGAGACCAGAATTAGGTGGGCATGCATGGGTGTGCGAGGAGTGCATGGTAAAAGGTCGTCGTTCTGGCATTTTGACATATTAGGAATTCGAAAAGGTTAGAATGTCATTATGCAATTGACAAGCATATGTTTAGACCCTCATGCAATATGATCCCCTCGTATGATCAGGATGTAAAAGTTGTAAGTGCTCTTTTGTTCTCACATGTTTATGACCTGGTTTTTTCCCTCATCTCTCTCCCATATTCTGTTTCTGCTTTTGACTGAGAAATATAACAAGGTGAATCTTGGGAAGTAGGGGTCTGCACTCATGATGGATTGACTTTCGCGCTTCTTAGAAACACAAGGAAGAAAATACTTATGGCCAACGCATCGATCACTGTAAACTAATGGCAATCATGCGCACTTTAGCTAACAACTCATTTGAAGATATTGACTTTCTCTTTAGAGATAAACAAATTAAAAGGCCCGTTTTGGGACGAGCATCTTTGAGCTCGAAAAATGTAACTTCCTGAGAGGATTCACGGTTGACCTTAGCAAGTATCATGCTGGTTCTATCGTGTTCTACACGACGTGATAAACAAACAGGAGTGCTCTTAGCTCGGGCGAAATCTGATTTCATGTTTGAGGTCGAAAGACCTCCACACTGTCCTGTGAGAACCGTGCAGTGTTAGACAGTTGAGGTAGAAGAACAATCATACGAGCAGTTGAAAACCCCGAGTATTCGTATACTCTGTACACAGTTCTTGGCTATTATGTTTGGTTGGCTTCCAAAAAGTTGATCAGTTTGCTCTGAACCTACGAGTTATGTAGACCACTGTACAAATCTTCAAAGCAAGAAAAAGCACAACAGGCTTTGTCCTCCGAGCTGACAACCCATGTGCCTCTGAGTTGTTAGAAGACATCCACTTGCTTGAACAGATAAAGGATTCAGGAAAAAAGGAGTCAATGAAGATGAGTATTAAAATCTCCGAGGTCAGCGTGACGACATCGAGTGCATCAGCACACACTGATGCATTGACTCAATAATCCTGTTCGCTTGCACAACAAAGTCAAGACTTACTCTGACCTTCTAAGATCATTTTCCAATCACACGGTCTGGAGGAACACGCTTGTTGTGTTCGTATGTTGTCGATACCTCATTCGCTCACACATTCAATGTCAAGATCTGATTGAAGAGGCTGCATTCATTTTCCACTCCCATCGTAAGGTATGTCTTCCCGTGGGTCTGGATGCATCAAGATTCGCATTCTTCTATTTTAGATGTACATCCAGTTTTACACAACTTAGAGTACTTCACATATCTGCGCTACCATGCATTCCATGACATTCTGCGTGCACGTCGCACATCTTTGATGTAACCACTCTTTTATATTTCAGATTCACCTGCATAGCTATCAGCTTTTCCACTCAATTTGAGTTTGGTCACCAGAGCATCAAACAAGTCTCTTTGTTGGAGTTCACAATAGGTTTGCGTTGCCCAAAGACGTGAGTTCCCTTTGCACACACTCTCTGCTATTTCGCTTGAATCCTGGTTCCGAACATTATTTTTGATTCACATCGCTTGTACTGCTCTGCACTTAGTTCGAGGACTTAGCAGTCTCCTGCTTTCGTGGTCATTGCTATTGATTCCTGCGTACTTTCACATTCTGTGAAGAGCTTCGATTAATCTTAACGTTGCTTCTCATGCAGAGTGCAAGAATCCTTATCCCCAGCACGCACATGCACACGGGTGACACTGCGACGACGGGAGCTTCAGTTTTCTTCGGGTGAGCCGGGCCTACCGATCGTGTAAGGGGCTTCCTTCCTCTGTGCGAGTGGAGGAGAGTATGGAAGCTGCAGGTGTGTCCATAGTCAGTCACGCGGCTGAGACACGGGCTATGGATTCTGCAGACGAGGAACCGGAGCTTCCCTCCGTTGTCCAAGACTTTATACGGCGTCTGGAAGGAGAAGGCGAGCCTATAACGAGTCTTTCACATTTACGCGAGCCACAATTTCGGGAATTCTTTCCGGAGCGTGCATCGCTCTCGACGATCATGGGATGGCGAAGCAAAGTGCGCCTTCGAGTGCTTGAGGCAATCGGCAATTGCAAAACCCTGAAGCATCTGTATTTACACGAGATTTGTGGCAGAGATATATCGACGTTGACCGCTAGCGAGTGGGAAGTAGTCTTGAGAGGATTCAGATATAGCACCGATAGTATAATCGTTCATACTTTGAAATGGAATTCAGATGCGGAAGTCGAGAGCTTGTTCTCACAGGTGGGGCAAATTCTGAAATCCTCTAGCGTAGAAGGATTGCAGATTGCAGATTGAGTGCCAGATGTTTCTTGAATCTCACCTCAGGACTGCGAGGAAATTCTGAATCTACCCTCAAGTCTGTATCTTTAGATAACGCGTGGGAGGACTCGAGTGCGGTGAAGCATGTGGCTGACATTATCAACAGTGCTACTCGATTAGAATCGTTGAGTTTGGGCAATATAGACGCCATGGAGGAGGAAACCGTTGGAATCCTGTCCCAGGCTTTGATCAAGAGCTCGTCTTTGAAAGACTTGTTTTTAAATAATGTGAACTGGGGAGCGGCCTTGTCGCTGAAAGCTTTGGCCGGAGATGATGGCAACCGATCCATTGAACGTCTTTGGCTGGACAGAATGGATGGTTTTGGAGGCTGTTTAGGGGAACTTCTTACTTCCAACCCATCATTGAAGAGAGTGGCGTTGTACTCCTTGCGGATGAGTCGTGAGGAATGGCACCAGCTCGGCGAAGTCATACATGACAATGCTATAGCATCAATTCTTCATGTAGAGTTTAATTTCGGTTATGAGAGAGAGCACTGGGAGTCAATAGAAGTTCTTGCATGTGCTGCTAGCTCCGATGTCAAGGACCCCATAATGGAGCTAAATCTCACACCTTGGCGTGAGCAAGACGGGATGTTAGCATTAAACCTATTAGCTAGGGTACTGCGCGGGGATATCAAATCTCTAAAATATTTCAGTCTAATGGAGTCTCGTCGTCTCATTGTGGGTAGCAACCAAGATACACCGAAAAGTATGCTCCCGATGATTGGCCAAACTGGAGAAACTTCAGTCTTGAAAAGACTGGTATTAGATGTTTCCAGCAAATATCTTTGGAAGGGAGTATGGAAGAACCTGCTTTCGTGCTTGCGAGAGAACACAAGTCTCACTCACTTGGATTTGTATGGGACTAATCTCGACGAAGAGATGTTTAGGGACCTGATGGGGTTACTCCAAGTGAACTTGACTTTGGAGGAAATAGATGTCTCATACACCTCATGGCAAGAGGACTGAAAGGCGGCGCAGATTCAAAAGGCCCTAAGGCAAAACAAGAAGCGGCCGTCTACATGGCCGTCTTCAGAGAAGCCAAATTAACATTTGGAGATGCAAAAGGTGGTCAACTCTTTTTATGCGGCTTTCCTAGAGCAGGTAAGATGCTCTGTCAGTTCTCAACTTTTTTCTCAATTTTTACAAACTAGCAATTAAACTGATAGTCAGAAAGTTTTTTTTAATCTCTAGATTTATTTGCATTGTGTAGAATAATTTTTTTTCAAATGGAAAGAAGAAGAAAACAAAAATCCAAATAAATTTGAGATATATATCTCGCGTTTTGTTTCAAAATTTCCAGTAATTTTAGACATAGTCTTTTTATTTGATTCTTTGTCATTTGAAAATTTCCATTGTAGCAAAAAATCATACTATGAATAAATAATAATATCTTTTTAAGAATTTCACAGTTTGATGTGAAATTAGGAATTTTTTCCAATCTTTTATCTACAGAGTATGATTAAAATATGGTATCAATTAATTCGTAAAAAAGTCAATTTTAAATTTGTATTTCTTGTGATTTTTTTTTTCCATTTTTTCAGGCAAGACTAAATTACGTCAGACTCTCATGAGGATAGTTCAAGGCAAAAGTTGGATGGGAAACAAATGGGACGAGTTGTGGAAAACGAAAGGCATCGAAGTGGAGTTCTTGGAAAACAATGACAAAAATCAAATCTCCATTTGGTACCTTGCTGGACAAGGGATTTTTCGTACCCTTCAAAATGTTCTCTTCCCTCAAACCAACAATTTTTGTATTTTTCTATTTGTGTATAGCCACTTCTGTGAGAAAACATCTTCAGAAAAATCAGATTCCTGTTTTCAGAGAGAGTTAGAAGAATGGTTGAGTTTCATCACATCCAGATCTAGGGTCAGAGGACATAATCGTCCATAAGTTCTTGTTGTGATTTCACACAAGGATAAAATCAAATCCAGCTTTTTGACTTGGGCTAACTCTATAGTGGATGAGCTCACCAAAACTTTTTCAAAATTTGTGGATCTCCACCCTATTCAAGAGTGTTTTTATGTAGATGCTAGGAAAAAGAAGCAAGTCATTCCTCTCAAAAATCACATTTTTGAGATCTTCAAGAAGGTGTTGAGTGAAAAATCTCCCCGAGTTCCTCAATTGTGTTCTCAACTCTCTTCAGTGTTAAATACAAATACCAAGGAGAACCTAAGTTGCCCTCTTTGGTCGTCCAAGAAGTTTCATGCGTTTTGTGACCTCAGCTTGACACAGTCCATTCAATCCTCTTTTGCTCTTACAGTTGATCATTCAAGGATAATGAATTCGATAGTATCCTATTTGAATGACGTTGGATCCATCGTCTCTATCCCCGACCTTGATTACATCATTGTGGATCCAAACTGGCTCACCAATACATTATTGGGTGAGCTGGTAGCTTTGGGTCAAGACTTTCAAGTAGAAGAATCCAGGTCTTCTAACAAAACATTGTCACGATACTCATACACAAGCAAGGATGGATTTGTGAGTGCGAGTGTCTTCGCTCGGTTGATAAAGGAGTTTCAGCGAAAGCAATCACATGTACAGAGAGGTGTGGACAGAGAGGTGCTTGAAAACATACTTATCAATTTGAATTTGTGTTTCAAGCTGGAAGATACTTTTCGGTACTTCATTCCCTCCTTCATACCTGAGCATGCAAGCATGGAAGAAGAGTAGCACTTGGAATCAATGGCTTGGGAAACTAGGGGTGAAACTTCACAGTTTGTCGGCATCCGGATTCAATGCCAAGATGGAAGAACAATGTTACTGAACTCTGCTTTTTTTCCATGCTTCCAGGTGAGGTCATCATGATTGCATATATTTTCTGAGAATATTGAATGCATCAAAATCTGATTGTAACTTGTTTACATGAAAGTAAAGTTCTTTTTTCAATAATTGAATTCAATTTTTGGAATGCGCAACTCAATATTTACCAAGTTTTGTATCATTGTAGATGTTCATGATACGCAAGTTGATATCGGAGATGCATATTTCCAAGGAGACTGTGACTTGCTCTCGAAATTATTTGAGACTTTTCCTTGATGGACATCAGATTTATGTCCAGCAAGGAAGGTCCCACAAATACGTGGATGTTCTGATGTTATGCTCAAAGCATAAGTCAAAGGAGGGGGCTCTGAAATACCTGACAAAGCATATCGTCCAAGAATTGATATCATTTTGCGCATCATCCAAAGTCTGTCCCGGGGTGGCGTTAGTGCTCGGTGTGATCCAAACACTTTGCGTTGAGATGCTGATTCCGAGTCATCTGAGAGGGGTGATTCTGATCGAGGAGCTCAAATCTGAATTCATTCGTAGCATCAAAGTCAATCTTGAAGATCTTCCGTTGGATAAGTCGCACTGGGAGAAGGAGGAAGAGTTGTTCAACTATGAGCACTCTTGGCCCCCGATTGAAGGGTACACAGCACAGGTTACATTTGAAAGAGCTAGGGACTTGCTGTGGGACAGCGATGTGGAAGCAGTTGTGAATGAGATCCGACAGAAGCGAATGCAACAATTGGAGTCATTGCAACAAGGTCTTATCCAACGATTGGAGTCATTGCAGCAAGGTTTAATCAAAGTGAACGATGATTTGATTCATTCTTATACTGAAAATGAGAACATGACTACGAATTCAAATTTTTGTGAATTGAAAGTCTCCAATCGACCTTCATCCAGGTGCTTAAGTCGGGCGAGCACAAATGTAAAATATCGTTCTACTCGACTTGAGAACAAGATCGATAAGCTAGTACAAAAGGTTGATGGTTTGGATGGAAGGTTGAGATCAGTGGAGAGCATTGTGCAGAGATTGGATATGAAGATGGGACAGATAATCTTTTTGCAACAAGAACTGCAGTCAACGTTAAGTGCTTTCATGTCTAAAGTGGACAGGTTCATTCAATACTCTCAGTCGTTTCAGCAGGCGAGAACTCCCAAACGACCTTACGTTACGGACGATGTTGGCTTTTTTTATAGGATGAGTGCAGTTCTGCGTGTCGGGACAACCGTTCGCTTACACTTGATGTGTGAGTCGGCGACTGGGTTTCACTATGTCAAAGATCAAGAGGGTCTGAAGATACGCTTGGATTGGGAAAATTGCGGGTGGATTCAAAAAACTATTGAAATCTCATTCAAAGTCATTTATTATGCTGTGAAGGGTGGACTGGATGCGACCCTCGGTTTAGGCGAAGCAATTCCAGAGTGGGAAGATTTGAAATCTGATGTTGTTAAACTAGATGGCATTAGCGATCGTGATCGTATGGCAGTTCTAAAAGGTGGGGAAAGCAAGGAGCTGAAAGAAGCATGGTTGAGGATTCAGCAAACTCTTGCGCCAAAGCTTCAAGATAGCTATTCGTCAATCTTCAAGTTGTATCAGGTGAAATACGTGAGACCAGAATTAGGTGGGCATGCATGGGTGTGCGAGGAGTGCATGGTAGAAGGTCGTCGTTCTGGCATTTTGACATATTAGAAATTTGAAATGTCATTATGGAGTTGACAAGCATGTGTTTAGATCCTCCCGTGCCATATTTCATTAATTTGAATCCGTGTGTTTGAAGGTGGGCGATGATGTTTTACAGGGAATTTTTAGCTTCTGTTGCTACGGGAAATGACGTTGTAAAAAAAACTTTGAGAAAAAGAATACAGGAACGAGTCGTAGTCCAGCACCTGAATTCACTTCATATAGTAGTTTTCAAAATTGTGCTAACTCATATGCAACTCTAGCTGACTGTGAGCAACCTGCACAAGTCAGAGGATCTCGGCGTTTTACAATCCAAACTTCATAAAGCACGTGAAGAAGATCACCACAGTTTCGGATGGTCTATGAACGGTATCTTCCAGAATTCGGCTTCAGTTCGCTCCCTGGACTATCCCTGTTGTAGCCAAATATTACATAAGACCCAGTCACTAAAACGATGGATTTGTTCCTCTTTGTTTAAATCATTTCCGATGCTTGTGTCTGATTATGGTAGTTTAAATTCACCCTTGCTTGAAAACGAAAGGCGAAATTGACATTGGAAAGACAGCTTGGCATCTCATCATACTTTACTGGGCACGCCATCCACTATGACAAATTAGCTGCATTTTTTAAAGACAACCGTTAGTCACGAGAATGTGTAGCACGTTTCTTCGCTGCTCCAATTCGGCTGCAGTTGCAATTCCCAGCACGAAGTTCAAGACATAAGCTTCGCCTGAATATTACCTCCTTTTACCTGCAGTGGCTTTCGGGATCGTATACAGGGAAGGGTTTCAGGAAAGCGCAATAGTCCCAACCTTGTCATAAGACATGTATGTATCCCGTTATCCACTTTCTCAGATCCGTGCCCATCTGTACAATCAAATCAATGTCGATGAATTGCTGCAATAAGTGGTGTGAAGTGAAGTGCTATAGTGGAAACTAAAAAACTCTCTCGAATTTTCATCACATTCTCGTGTTTTGACTTTCTGGGAGTCCATGGCGGACCTGACAATTTTCTTAAATTTGAAAAGTTAAAATGAATGAACATGAATATAGAAAGAGCATGCTGAGTTCGTGATGCTTAGACGACAGATTATTCACCAGTTCAAACCTCACCGCATCATCAATCTTGCCACCAGAAACAGTTCTGCTGCTGTTTCTGCAAATCTGCGCCACCTTGACAGGCACGCCGATTCCAAGGAATTGCCGAGCTTCAGCGAACAAAATGTCTCAAAATGTGTACTAAGGAAGACTTTCCGGTACCTAATCTCAGCGTGGGCATATGGAAGAAGTTATTCACCTTTACTACTGCAGCCTCTATATCAATCCTCTTTTGATGAACATCCTTGCGCACAGCAATTTACAGCAGACAACCACGCTGCTACTTAATCACTCAGTAGTTAAAAAAAAGCAGATAAATTGTTTTGATCGTTTAACAAATTATATCGTATCCCGCTCACTCTTCCTCTCCCTCCCCTGCCTAAATTGTAACACAAGCCGATGACACGTGTCTCACATTGGCCGAACGAGAGACGGTGCGCTCTCGATTCGATGAGTGGCTGGATCGACGCGACGGTGACCGTACGCCGTCAGCCCGGAGGCAGACGGTCAGGGTGGGGCGAGGCCACAGTTGACTTAGGCCGGAGTCATGCCGTCAGGGTGGCTTTAGTCTGCAGTGATTTAGAAGCTGATGCCGTGTTGGCTCAGTGATCAGAGTTATCCTAATCACAGTCAACAATTCTGCACAGAAGTCATTACCATGGCAGAGCCTGTACCCGGTCAAGGAGCCGCTGGACCAAGTCGCCCGCACTACGGACCTACGTCTGCGTCCTTGCTGGTCAAAGTCCGCGACGCGTATCTTGCCGTACGGATTTGGCTTCATGTTCCGATGGCGATGGCCTCTTCGTCGAAGAGGCCATCGAAGAGTCTTCGATAATAGTCGTCGGGGAGCGCGAGTGCGCGAGTTGTACTTATAGTCCCCCGCATCGCAAGCTCTGAAGAAAGCTTCAGCATCGGCTCGACGAAAAGAATTTGCTCGGACAGCAAGCAGGCAGGCAAGCGGAGCGGGCTCGAGAAATTCTGTCGAATTGTGGTACGTCGAGAGATAGAGAGAGGGAGGAATTGAGAATTTCGAAAGACATTGTGCTGCCGAGAGAGCGACATGTATTCGAGTGCGCCACCACCACCAACAGGCTATCCCGCGATGAATCAGGGCGTTCCACCGAGCAACTATGGAGCGCAGTATGGCGCTCAAGGCCCGCCTCAACAAAACTATCATGGCGGTCCCGTGCAGTATCAAGGTCAGCAGCAGCAGCAGCCGCAGCAGCAGGTGCATTCCGTCAGCCAATTTGTGCAGAACACTCAGTCGACGAGCGGGAAAGTGCCGTTCGAGGTGGACAAATCGCGAGTCGGCATCCTGCAAGTGAATTTCGGCTGCCCTGCGACGGCGGGAGGAGTGCTGCAGCAGGTGTACATGAAGAAGGGCTCGATGGTGGCCTATCAAGGGGACATAAAATTTGAGCGAGAGGGACTGCTGGAGCACGGAGTCGGGCACATGCTGAAGAAGGCCGTGACGTCGGAAGGGGCAACGCTGGTCAGGGCCACCATGGGGTCCAAGGGGAGCTCGGGCCGAGCGCATCTCTATCTGGCCGACAATTCCAAGGTGGTCACCGTGCTGCAGCTGCAGGGCGAGTCCCTGACCGTGAACGGCGACGACCTGTTGGCCTTCGAGCCCAGCCTGAAGCACCAGATCGTTATGCTGAAGAAGGTCTCGGCCATAATTTCTGGTGGCCTCTTCAATGTCAAGCTCAGCGGCTACGGCTGCGTGGCCATTCTGTCGCACGGCAAGCCCATCACTCTGCTCGTCAAGAAGGGCCAACCCTCTGTCTTCACCGACCCGCAGGCCACCGTGGCCTGGTCCGGGAGTCTCAACCCTGATTTTAACACTGACATTCAATTCAAGACTTTACTCGGTCGTGGAAGCGGCGATAGCTTCCAAATGAAGTTTGACCCCAGCAAAGGCGAGGGCTTCGTCGTCGTCCAACCTTGCGAGGAAATTGGTCCGCAGCGGTCTTGATCGCCTGACCCTCAAATCCGTCGACCCATTTCAATGTGAATAATTTTTATCTTTTTCTCCTTCTTCAGCGAGCGATGTTTTTCCTTCACCGCGTTTGTACTGGTTCCTACTAAATCACAAGCTTGATAATCTGAAAGAAGCCGATGCGAAGCTCGCTCCGTGTGCTCAGTGGATGAGTCAGGAGTTGGAATTCCCTGGTAGATAACAATGACTTCATCACTGAGAGAGTTCCGGCCCGAGGAACGCTCAGCTGATTGGAACCTGGTGGTGTTGCTTTCCGTGAAAGCTTTTTGATCTCTCGATTAGTCTGCCTCGTTGGGGAAGCAGATGCCGCCAGGTGTGAGATATGGCGGGTGAGTGAATCGGTTTGTCGTGGTGTACTCCCTTCGAGACATCCGATTTCGAGTCTAGACAGTTCGTAGAGTTTCTTGAGCCGTGGCAAACAGTGAAGACGCAGATCTCTCTGGAACCCATTCACGTTTATTATATGAGCCCGGGAGAACAAATGATTAAAGCCTTCAGTTGCTCTTACAATCTATTTTGCGTCAATTAAATTCCTCTGGACAGTCTTCTAAGATGTAATTGTCACGTGTCCAAATGGCTAGGATGCAAACAACTGACCTGATTTGAACTGACATGAAGCAGGTCTCCGCTCGCTAAGTGCAAGGAAATTACTCTGCAGAAGAGCGCTGTATATGGGACAGTTGTCTTGTTGCCACAATCCTCAATCAACTTCGCACGATTGATCCTGCCTGGGGAACCTTATCCTCGAAATTCAATTTGTGCGAACAGATCAAGGTACAGATCTCAGCAGTCCATTGAATATAAAAGACTGGAATGTTGCAACTATCGCTTTGAAGTTATTCCGTCCTGAAACCTCAATATCAGATGAAGTCAACGACCGACATACTATCATGCCTCCAAGCCGTTTCACTGGTCTCCCTCATCCAAATCCGGGTTGCACTTTCTGTTTCCATCCAATCTTCCGCATCTACAGTTCTTTGTAATGTGATGACGAGCAGACATTAAAATGCTTTCGGCCGACCCCGTGCAGGAGTGGAGCCTGAGATCATAGGCTTAGCAGAAAAACGCTCGAATACGCTGAGTGTACTTCCAAATTCATGTCTTGAGTTAAATTCACTCAACTTTGATCAATTTTCGTATGGATGAGCTGAAAATCATAAGGCAATAAACGAGTTTATATGTATACCAAACGATCAATTCGATGTGAGTTATACAGGAGCAGGTCAAACGTTGGCTAATTGAGATTGATCTCCCTACGTGATCAATTGTTGACCTGCTCACAGAAAGTGAAGAAGGAAAGAGGGGACGGTGGGATCAGGGGTTGGCGACGATGTAGCGGTTTTATGCAAGAGCAATGACATGCTCAGCCACGACAGAGAGGGTACTTGGCTACCGGATATCCTATTTTAGCTGTGTAAAAAATTCCCGAGTTGACAAGTTGCTGTGAGGTCAAGTATATTTTGAGATCAAGAGTGAACACAAAGAGTACAATTGCTCTGCATGCTCTCTACATTGAAAACTGTGGTAAGACTAAGTATATTGTAACCAAGAAGAACTCGGTTAAGTTCTCGGGCGTTTAGGATAATGGAGGCATATCTCCCTTGAAATCATTGATTAAAACACCTGAGTTTTAATCAATGAGTGTGAATCTCAGGTGTGGTTCTAGATTTAGTTCGAATCGTGAGTACGCAACTACTTAGTGTTGTTACGTTTTATACATAAAACTATTCAATTTTATATCTCACATCAAAGATTGGTTGTAGATTTTTACACAAGGCGAAAATTTATGATTTCTGATCTTCTGACGATTGGGAAACTCTTCATTAATATGAAGAGTCATTTGAAGAACAATGAACATTAAGAACATAGATTAACATTGATGAACTTCAGAACTAGGATCATTGAGTTGAAAATGCACAATTCCAGGAGAAAAGAATTGGACGCTCCAAACAACGGAAGGGCTCTGTTCCACACACCAGAGGAGAACCTCTGTACAAAATTCTCAATTGCTCGAATTTTCTAATCCGTTTAGCTTCTCTGTGCGTTATTCACTGCTACCTTCCAGACCTGCGTGCTAATCGAAAATCAAAGCATGACATCAGGGGCGGAGCCAGGATTTTTCTGATGGGGGGGGGCCCCGCCCCCCCATCAGAAATACCAAATTTTTTTTTCTCGACCGCGTTTTCACGATCTGTAGCTCAGAATCTGCAGACCCTTCCTGGGCTTAGGTGGGGCGTGAATTTCCTAACCCCCCCCACCCCCCACCCCTAGCTCCGCCACTGCATGACATCCTGAAATTGGCCACCTTCTCTTGCAGAACGCGAACAATTGAAGGAGGGTGTGCATTAGATCCGAGAAGCGTATGTCAACTGCAGTTGACATACGCTCAGTTGCCAGAGGACTCAATAGAGGGTTCGTCTTTCAGATTGATCTCATATGCTCTTCCAAGCCATGAAGGTTAATTCCAGCTTTGGGATTCGTTAATGTATCTGATCTAGCAAGATCCCTGAAGAGTTTTTCTTCATCTTGATATGTTTTTGTGGTATCATCCGGGTATAAACAAAAATTACTTTTTTAATTTTTAAGCAAATATTTTAAATGTTTTCAATTTAGTCACTGGATTTATATACATGTACTGATGTGAAATCTTCTAGGAGAGAATCTATCACTGGACGAATTAAGAATCTTAAACAGTTTATCAATCACAATGCAATGACAAAATTTTACACAAAACAGCCATCTTCATGTATATAAATATATTATGAAATTGCATCTTATATTAACGATATGAAACCACTAGTTTGCTTCATTTTCTTTGGAATACTGGGGTCCAATATCGGATGTCCCTTCGGGGACATCCGATAAAATTGGAACGATACAGAGAAGATTAGCATGGCCCCTGCGCAAGGATGACACGCACAAATCGAGAAATGGTCCAATACACCAATTATTAGTTCAGAAGACATCTCCACCAAACATGAAAACGGACTAAATTGTGTAGAGGGAATGTGATTGTAGACCACTGGAATCAAAAGCTTTGAATGAAAGATTCAACTGCACTAGACTTCAGCAGCGATGCGAATGGAATGGCTTCGGAGATTTTCAGAATAGAGGAGCAAAGACTCACAAAATGAATCATATTTTGTAGTTATTTTTCACTCTAGTTGGTGAATGCAATCCAATGTTTGGAGTTCTATAAGCTAGGAAGTTGTTGCAACTCATATTAACAGTGGAAATTTTTCCCAAAGTGCTATTACTATTAATTACTGGCTATCACTAGTTAACGGATGTTTCGAATGTCAAGGTGTGAATCTTAGTGCATTGCTGGAAGCCGGTGCAGTGGTAGGAACGATGTTCATTCCACATTATGCAACACGTTTGATTGGCATTGGTCTGGACCGAATTTGGGTCCGTTAGATCAGTCTCACGAGTTCACTGCTGAGTGTGAGAAATGGATGACACTGATTACCATGACAGCCACCCAGGTCATACTTAGAAGGTCAGCTGTAGTACATTGTAAGAGTTTTCTCCACATCACCATTCAAGGGTGGAATTGCAAAGGAGGCATTTGGTCAAAAGAGTCCAAGTTTTGTATATTTTTCAACTTGTTGACTTCGCCTTGCCCACTTCCATGTGTTATTGAATTCAGAACCTGCTGAAGTATAGAACACAAGATGATTGACAAACCACAGCGGCCAGAAATCTTGTTACTCTTTCTGCAATACGTCAAGTAGTAATGCTTTCGAATCTGCTTCATTTCATGCTAAAAGTGCTTTTCCGAGGCTCGCAAGAACATTCACGTTTTGCCTTGGTGACAACGTTGACATACTCAACATAACACTAGTCCAAAGGCACTCCTTGGGGCGACGTAACAACGCTCGAACCATAGTGCCATACATAGCTCCGGACAACTAACACTCTTATACATCTGTAGTCGAGAACGTACGTTCGTAATCTGATTCCCGTTTTAAAAGATGAAACAAGATCCACACACTCTGTATATATATTTCTGCTTCTCAATATTAATACTCATATTAAAGAACATAAAATACATAATAATTGCCCGGCGTTGGAGTGTACAATTCCGGTGAATGTTGATTAAGCAATGCCTGGACTTTAAAAAAATCAAAAAACAATCGTTACTATGAATGACAAGATGTTTGTGTACAGGTTTATATACATTTTATACTCACGGTGAACACTGTAGATCAGCGCATAGCTACTTTGCCTTTGCAATGAACGTAGAATCACCGACAAACTTAATATGGAATCATCAAGACACTTGGTTAGATAACTGTTACTTACTAGAATTATATCAAATTGAAGTAACCATGTGCTAGTAGTCGACTCTCACATCATTATCATTCAGGGAGTTTTACTTCCAACATCCTCCTTAGTTCCCTGAACAATTTTCATTTCATGATGACCTAGTGCCGATGTGGTTTAAAATTCATCATTAAATTTTTCAATTGTTTTTTAGAATCAGGCTTGGCAATATTGGAGCGCTTGGTGTTTCTTGATTCTCTTTCATTGTGTTATAAATTATGCTCTTGCTTTGGTAATGAAACTTTTTCAGGAATTTATCCATGACTCGTTGAAAGGGTTGGAATTTTCATTATTTCCAAAATTTCTCAATTGATTATAAACTTTCCTATATCAAATGTCTTTGTCAGGCAGTCCGCTTTTTCTTGATTTGTTGATATGTAATCAACTTGTAAGTCTCATGCCTTTGCTCTTTCCCTTATGAAGTGATGTTGAGTTTTACATGTGTTTTGTTCTAGCATGTTGAACAAGATTGGTTACTCGTATGATGCGAAACTAATTGTCGTTGAGATATTAGATTATTGTTTTTTTGCATAATCCCAAATCTAGGTAATAATTGACGTAAAAAAAATATCCTTTGCCACTTCAGAAAGTGCACTGAGTCATTTTCTAATCATCAATCTTCAATCAGCAGCTTCATAGTGAACATTGTCATTGTAGACTGCAATTTTTAATTGTGGTATTTCCAAGCTTTTGAGCAATTTCAGTTGTCAACCTCCGAGTATCAACATTTCCTTCATAATCAGAGTTGGCAAAAGTATGATCTATCAAAACTACATGCTGCTGAAAATAAAGACCCTGATTTATCATTCCCTTCAAATATCAAAAAATTGACTTTACACCAGTCCAATTAATCTTTTGAAGATAATGCAAATATCGACACATGTTATTCACTGTACAGCTAATATCAAGCCTTGAAATCGTTGATATAAAAATATGATCTAATCAATGATCTATATAACGTAGCATCAACTGCCGGTACTGCATTATGTGATTGTAACTGCCAGTCTTGCACTATGACATTGTATGTGCACGAGACATGGGAAACGAACTGAGTTATAGGTGTCCAAATTAAAATTTGCTAATAGTTTTGTATAAAACCTCGTTGATGCATATAATTTTAGTCTTCGTTTGTTCCAATTTTTCCCTTAGGTATAGTTATGCATCACCCTAATTTGTAAG